TTTGTGCAATATCTCCGAACGCAAAAAACAAAGGTTTTTATTTAGGTACATTTTATTTCCTAACCTTTATTTCCTTTGAACATTACTAACATTAATATAAAATTCTCGTTTTTAAAATCCGGCTACGCCATGTTGTATTTTAGGAAAACGTAATTAAGCCACGAGCCATTCAGATTGGAAAACTGACTTAATTTCCTCTTTTTTACCCATATTTATTTATTTTTACAGAATATACCGACAAGGGCATTCAAACCATATAAATTAATAAAATATTGTATTAAAAAAAATCAATTCCTTTAATAATCCTCTTTAAAATGTGTTGTGGAAGCTCTTAAGAGCTCGCTTTAAAATTTCAAAATGTTTAAACAAACCGAGTAAATCAGCACTTAACGGTGAAGAAACATATCTTTTGAAAACCTGCGTGTGTAAAAAATTTAAAATATATTTTTTCGAGGATACCTTAAGTCCGCCATAACGCATTAGGGTACCGCGTTAGTCTTCCCTATTTCAAAATTATTCTATTTCCAGTAATCAGCAGTGAGATAGAGCATTTCTTTACTTTTTTACAGCTGTATAAGTACGCGTTCTGAATAGTTTTTATTCCAACTTAAAATTTGTTATCATCATAAATATTGTAGCTCACCACATGGCTGCTGCCAAACGCAGGCCTCCAAAAAACGAGGTCCTGAGTCACCTGCATCTATCGATCAGTGGCGAAGTCTCCATAGAAGCCGAAAAGCCGGGCTTACTCAATAATATCGAACAGCTCAAATAGCTCAGTCAATAATATCAACTAATAAAATTACAAGTAAACTGTTTCAAACTCTTTCAAATTTGCCGCGCGCTCCTTTGTTCTACACAGGTCATGACGCCTGCATGGCTTCCATGCATGCTTCGGCAGGTTTACAACAATCACGGTTGTGATTGACGAATAACCTACCGTGTAATGCGGTAATTGATGCCTGCATGAACGCGTAATATATCACCATCCATTTTTTATCAATCATGATTGATGGAATCGATTGAAGCCTGCATGAGCGTGTAATTTACGCCTTATACATTTGAATATCTTTTGGTGAGAGTAAGAAAACATTATCGTGTCGCTCAACAGTATTAAGATCGATTTTAGTACGTCAGCCGGTTACTGAGACAGTCATAAAATATGTAATTACTCTAAGCATAAATAATTACGATAAATACCTAAATATAATTCTTTTTATTAGTCTGTGAATAATTTCTTTTGCCTACATATTAAACACTTTTTTACATAACGTTAGTCACATTTCTTCACAAAACCTGTAGAGTAATAACTTCTTTACCATTCGATATCATAATTCTTCAAAACAATAAATTTTCAAATAACCATTTGATGTTATCATCTATCAAAAAATACTCAATTTCTACTTTTCTAAGCATAACTGCATAACATGCCTTGGGCGGTACATTTTGAAGTTATCAGGTGGATTCCAATTATTAGAAGTAACAGTTTCGATTTCTAGTAACGATTCTTGTCAATATGGGACGCCAACTTGAAACCTGAATATTTTGATTTTTTTTATGCTTCCAGGCTCTCGTTGACGGTATCATGCATGTCACGTAACATTGCGAAATGTGTTGTTCTGATTTTTGGAAAATTTAATAACTTATTGATAAATGTATTGAAAATTAATTAAGCAATGTCAGTGCGGCGTCGTAGTTGACCTCGTTTACTGTCAGATGTTTTATTAATTTCAATGCGTCGCCTCTGACATGAGTTTTTCTTGGAATATTCGTGGACTAAAGTGATTTTAACTCGATATGTGCGTCTTCAAATTCGTGTCATTGTTTTTGTAATTTTAAATAATTAATTGTAATCGGTACACGGATTTGCTTTCATGCATAGCGTTTCCTAGTTTCTTCTCTAATTGATTTATTTTAAAAAAAAAATTTTGATGAATTAAATTCACCTTGCCCTTGATTAATAGTTTTCGGTTCATACAAGTTTTTTACATAATTTAATCGTTCTTCACATTTATTTAAATGCTCCTGCAACTTTATAGTTTTTAATCAATAAAAATAAAATAGGTCGTTATGTATGTATGAGTCGATACAATTGGCTGCTCTTCCAACAGTCTGTGGTTTTGAATAGATTTGTCGCAAAAACCGAAAACCCTTTCATAACTATTTTTAAACCGGTTCTTGAGATTTTTTTAGGTTATTTCTTTATTATTTTACGAGATATAATGCATTAAATATAGGAATAAGTTAAAATAATAATCAGATCCTTAACTGCTGCGATTTTAAATACGAATTTTAATTATTATTATTATTTTTATTATATATATGATATAATGCAATAAATTAAATTTGCAATTTTTCTGAGTTGCAGGTGTCTCAGGACCGTGCTTTTTGGCGTCCTTGGGGTAGGCCTATGTTCAGCACTTGTGAAAAGCTTTAATGATGATTAAGGGTTATATACAATTCACTTTGTAATGCATCTTAAAGTTATGTAGGTATATATATAATACATATAAAATTAAAATTACCATTTTATATATATATATATATATATATATATATATATATATATATATATATATATATATATATATATATATCAGAAGTAGTAGTTTATATAACAGAACATTAATTCATTTAGAATTATTCGTTTATTATTATTTTATAATTAAAATTATAAAATTTATAGTTATAATAGTGAGTTTTCAATAATTTTCTGTATACGTTATACTAAACATCATATTTCTAGCAACCTTCAAATTTTAGTAAGCTGATCTTCTGTGTAAATTACAAAATATTTAAAACTATCATTTTAAGATACATACTTTGATTATAATCAAAGGATACATACATTTCAATTGTATTCATACATTAATAACATATGCATTGTACAAGTTATGTTTAAATTAGATATGATCATAATACGATGTAATCGCAAACGTTTCTTTAAACGTAGGTAGGTACCTACATAGGTGTCACAAATCGTTTGCGCTGCTGGGATTGCAATTTGCAATTGCATAGAACTATTACTCTATGGCAATTTGTATTTTTGTCCGTTGTTATGAAAAATGATTACGCTGCTTTACATTGGTTTCTTTGTTCTGGATATCATAATATGAAATGTAATAATTTATTTTCGTTTTACATTGCTTGAACTTTCAAATGAAAAGTTTTTAACCCTTATTTATGCTATTTATTTTCTGAGAAAATAGTTTTAATCCTAAATTATTTGTGTTGATAATGAAAATATTTTTTCGTACAAACGATTTTGAAAGTCCTATTATGTACACAATTAATATACTTAAATTTTGTTGTAATCATTGTGACCCTTAAACCCACAAAATAGTGTACCTAAATATTATATGAGACTATATGATATAAATTTGTAATATCTTTAAAATTATATTAAATGTTCGCGAATTTCATGTACCTATTACCTAATTATTTATTATGTCAAATGTGTACGTTGTATGTATGCATGATACATTATACCAATTTTATTGTGACTACGGGATTGTTATGTGTACCCAAGACAAGACAAATTTTATATATAGGTAATTAGAATTAAGGATTTTATTTAGGCTTAACGTTTTGCTATATTAATTATAAAATAATTAATTTATATCTTTTTGTCGATGGGAGGTGTAGTGTAACGTAGCCCTCACGACAATGTATAAGTATTAATGTTAAGTGTAGAACAAGTATAGTCTAATCTAATTAAACAGACAGATCTTTGACACCGTACCAACATTACATCTCTGTGTGATCCCCACGAGGTATGGGTATGGGGTAGTGAATTCTCTTACATTACAATACACGGCGTGTAGACTTTCAAGAGTTAATAAAGAAAAAATATGTATGTGTTTAATTTTTTATTAAATTATTTAAAAATAATTTATTTATGTTTCGTAAATTTAAATTACTTCGTAAAATTTTCCTTACCTCTCCAAAAAGCTTATTTTAAAAAATAGTATATTTTATATTAGGTAAGTACCTAAGTCCATTAACGCAATTAATCAACTTGTATCTCAATAAAAGTGTAACTACAATAAAGAACTGATGTTGAAATTGATAACTTTTACATTTACTCTTAACAGGCTTCTGAACAAAACAAAGTAGGTAGATACCTACCTAAGTACCTACACATTGTTTTGTTCACAGGCGCTACACATATGGCATTCACACCAACCAGAGTACATACTCATAACATACTCTTACAGGACAATGGACTAGAAGGAAACATTATTTAACCTTGTAAATAAAATGATATATTGAACATATTAACAAAATTAACATTTGAATTGGTTATTTATCACATTTCCGGCTCGCAGTCCTTAAACTTACGGATCATTATTTTCTAGACTTATTTTGCAACCAGAAACTACAATTCCTATTAAGATATTGGAATGTAAATACTACTCCGAGAATAGTTCTAAACGAACATTATTTGTTATACTATTTTCCACACTCATGTAAATAATTTAATATTTAAATTTTAAAATTAACTCTGTTTCTGAAGATTTAAAATAATAAACCATAACAACGTTACAAATATTTCGTATCAAGAATTTTTACAGTCCAATACAATACAATAATTTCATATTTTTTAAAGAATTTAATGAAGGATTTTGATTTTATTACGAACGGTAATTATAATGTTGCCTTTAAACAAAAATACATCTTAGACGGCACAAACTTTACAATGACATAAATATAAATACTTAGGTTTGTAAATATATACTGTTATATATTTAAAAAAGACTGTTATGTATATAAACTGCTAATTCTTGTAATAAAAAATAAGTCAATTCAACTTCAAAAATTAAAAAAATATATATTTTGCATGTTAATCTTATAAATATTTTCTTTTTAAATTTCCTAAAATATCTTTCTTATTTTATTCGAATGCGAGTGAATTATTAAGCACTAAATTTAAATAAATATATGGTAATGGATATCTATTAATCTATACATTTCAAATAAATTACTCATGTATATTTTTTCTATACGTCTACACTTTTTCTTAGCCAAGTGTATTTATAAAACATTGCACCTAATGTGCTACCAAGTAATGGGCCAGTCCAATAAACCCAGTGGGTATTCCATATTCCCGACCAAAGAGCTGGTCCCAAGGTTCTTGCGGGATTAAGACTAGCACCAGTTAATGGACCGCCAGCTATGGAGAATCCCGCCACAGCAAACCCAAATTTCAATGAACTAGATTCCTGAGAATTGGCATTAAGAGGGTCCCACATTGCACATACTAGAAATATTAAGGATAACGTTAAAATCACTTCCACTGCCAAAGCTTGTAGACCGGTGTAGTTTACGTGCGGTTGAGTAGTACAAACTCCTCTGTTAATCAAATCAATGGGCGATATTTGAATTAAAATTCCATAACCAAAAATTGACCCCAGACACTGAGCAATTATGTACGCTATGCCCAAAGAAAAAGATATTTTTCTCCAAAGCATTGCAGCTAATGTAACGGATGGGTTCATGTGTGCTCCTGAAATATGTCCAAAGGTTTGAACATTAAATAACACTGCCAATCCAAAACCAAGTGCTCCGTCAATAGACGGTCTCATGTCAGAACCGTCAAGAGGTATGCAGGACATACAACCAAGCAGCACTAGTAAGAGAGTTGAAAGAAATTCTGCGAAAATGGCTCTCCACCATAACGAATACCAAATAATTAGTTTTTGTTTTGTCTGAAGCTGATCTTTGGCTGATATATCTTCAATTATACCAACTAAGACACCACTCGATGGAACCGTCATTATTAAACACTCTGGCGTAATTAAAATAATCAAGAATAGAAAAACAACTATCACACAATTCACAATGTTATTATCTAAAATCGCACTTCAGTCATAACCCCAAACCCGTTAGTTGTATCGCATTTGAAATAATGTTCCGATATCTTCTTGTAAACACGACTGTATCTAAATAAAATCAAGGCAAAAATATTGATGTAGCATTGCAAGACTACGTTTGAAGCAGGCACAAAATACTAATGCAAACGCAACCGTTATCACGTCGAGCCTCGTCAAAAGTATATTGTTTTGTGTCACATTTGTATTTACTGTGAGAACGTTTATAGATTATTAAGCCCTTTTTCTCCCACAAGAACGATAACAGATAATGGCATCATCGGCTTCAACATTACACATTGGCATTATCAAAATTAAACTTTTCTTATTTAATATAATTTTACTACCCCCGTACAGTTAAAATTAAAAATTTAATAAAAAATAAATAAATAAAATGGGTCAATAAATTCATGTATACTTCTTTAATTTTTGTTATGTATGATGTCTTTATTAAATTAAACTACTAAAACTTTCATATGATTCAAAATTACGCAAAAATAATTATGGTGAATCAATTAACAAAAATATAATATTTATAACTGAATGCTAGTGTTTGAATTTAATTTTATAACGTAAGTTATGCTAAGCAACGGAAGCACCAAGCCATCTTCTCTATTGAAATAATTATGTTTTTAGATTTCAATATCTTCACGAATCATCCTTGGTAGGGATGGGTGTTCTTATATCAATTATTGTTTATCGAATCTTTTAATGTCGGAGAAGTACCTCAACGTGCTCACAAGCTGCGAACTTCACAGAGCATTGGTGTTTCACGTGAGCTACATTATGTTCTTTACTTTAAACACAGATTTTAATAGAAGTAAGGTAACAAACGAGCATGGAAAAAAGGTGACGAGGACCAATATGACGAAGGGTAAATATAGGGTTGCCGGCCGTCCTTTATTATAAACGACGTCCTCTATTCACACCCAAAAATTGATTTTGATTTGACAAGGCAATATCGCACGTATTCGACATTCTTTCTGATGGTTGAGGATGTTAATACATTGCTTTTTTTATTAATTAAGGCGACACCGCGAAAAAATGCACCTCCTTTCATCGAATGGTATAGGACTATGTCACCACTAACGAAAGTGGAAATTTGATATAAGCAAATTCATTTCTTTATCTGGAATTTGATTGTTTAAAAACACTATTGTATAATTTTGACTCGATCATAATTTGCGAAAACACCTCTAAAAATCACTATAGTTGAAATTACAACGAAATTACTTAATCTATATGTTTGGTAATCACTCAAATATATTCATAACAACAATATTCATATTTTACTTGCTCATTATTTTGACTTAAATAAATAATTTAAAAAAATTTAAGATTCTGACAATTTGTAAGCGGTTTTATTCGTTTCGGGGGTTCTACGCAATTTAAGACCTTATGACGACGTTTTTTCAAGTTTTTATAAAAATTATGTATTTACTTGGATCAGTACGGCGATAGTCTCGAGCCATTTTTTCGATGTTGCTACAGCTATCTACCATAACAGAACTTTATCGAAAACAATATGATATCCTTTATTATCATCCTACGTTCTTCCTCTATGGGAGCTCGCAACTTTAGGTAGACACCTACATCTCGATTAAGAAATAAAATGCAGATGAGTTTTAACCTCTGATGACTAAGATGCAATGCCTCGTTACCAGTAAAAAAAAGTGTCTTCGGACCCACCATACGAAACGAGCAGCACTATGCTACTTTTTCACGCGGATATTTTATGGTAACGTGTTGTCCCCTCATTCGAATTAAACAATCCATTCGTGCTGCAACCCTCCATAGTACACTGCAGCATGCAAAATTCTCTACTACGGTGGCTCTACCAAGTAAACGAATCTTTTCCTAAAAGGAAACAGCCGCCGGGTGGGAACCATTTTTTTAAAAAAAAAAATAAAAAAAATTATTAACGATATTAGGTACCCAACACCCCGCCGCTACATCGGCAATTTCTGGATTATATTGTAACTTATGACCTATGCAAAATAAAGAAGAAGTAAAGTGTCACAAGTACAAATTAAATAGATTATCAGAAAAATAGAAACTATTGAATGAAAGGCGGGCGCAATTTCGCCAAATAATTACACATATCAGATAACTTAATGAGAGAGTGTATAAGTTGTTTGTATAAAAACTCATGCTGTAATGAACAGGCTCTTTACTCTTAAACGCAGACATTGCATACTTATTCATTTACTTACGCACTTAATTACAATTAAAACATACTTGTTTATTTACTTTAAAGGTCTTATAATCATGCAAACAACATTTCTTTATTCAAATATTTTGTGTTAAAGATATTTCTATAAACATTAAATCATTGTTATCACATCCCATCTAAAAAGAAATATTGGCATGTTGAAAGATAAGTTTAAATATCTGTTGAAAATTTTACACAGTTTTTGTGAGTGCGAACGCCACCATCAACAAAACGTGTCGTGTGATTTATTTTATGCGATTTGTTTCAAAACATTACGTGTTGGATGGGTCTCAGTGCAAACGTACTGTGAGTATTACATTGTTCCGGCTATCTCCGAAATGACTGATTCGATTTTGACTTATGGTGGACTTTGATTTATGGTGGGCAACACGCATTCGTACCCACTTGTGCTTTATTATGGTGGTCCCACGCTGTTTACAGACGGGTCTCGACTGACTAATCTTCGCAACTAGATTAAAACCTGTCATTATCGATCTTATATGGGGTCACCACGGGAATTGATTTTGTATCCATATTCTTCCGTTTTCGATCACAAGAGGATGCCGGACGTGATATTTTCCGAGAAACATTCGCAAACGTCTTCCTTTGTCGTGAGGTTGGCGTCGGCAGAGAAGCACGCATGGATTCTAGGGCTAAGGCGGTGATGCAAGGACGGCCGAGGTCGCTATAGTTTCACGGTCATCAACCCGCTGACAAACAGTATCCGGTGACGGAATCATCGGTGAAATAATATGACTACTATTACGATTACCGCCGCGTGTCATATTTATTTTCTGCGGTGGCGAATTCGCAGTATGTTGCGCAACATAATGACTAAATACATTATATGTATTCAAATATACATACACACATACATAATATAGTGTACATTAATTTATTGTATACCGTGCAAAACCATTAAAAACTTTAAATGTCCTCGTTAAATTTCATTACTTTAATCCAATAATATTTTAATATAATTTACACTTAAAATTTAATAAATGTACGCAGTCCGTACCACTGTAGCCTGAACCGAAGTTTGTGATAGAATCTCCCTGTTGTGTTGTTATTTACTTATTATGTTTTATAACCACTTCTATGATCTTTAAAACCTAGATTTTTTGAAATTCTGTTACTATAAAACACGTTTATGTATATTTAATTAATATAATTATATAATTTATGATATAAGTTATAAAAGTTCTTGGTGCGTTGACTTGCGAACATTCTCATTTTAAAAAAGAAACATTACATAGTGCATACTCTACGTAAGTACATGCTTCTTAGTGGTGTAGATGTTAAAGTGTGTTGCCTAGTTGGTACTCTTATAACTTTTGTAGCACCATTGAAGCATATTTTCCGCATCTACATAGATGTATAGCATAAACGTTGCCTAGAAGGCGGCTAAGCGCAAAAGTCCACTTTTGATTTGGCAAATAAATTGGAAACGGGAAATCTATGTTTCTATGAGACGAGTAGCCAGGAAATAAGCCCAAGGACCTGGTAAAGAAGTATGTCAAGGGTGACTTTCAATGATAGGATGAGAAATTGTCTCGTTGAGTCTGTCTGTATGAGTCAATGCGTGGTTGGCAGAAAGATTTTGTGACCAGGAATAAGAAAGAAATGTTGCAGTTGATCAGACACGTAGAAAGAATTTATCAAGAAAGACAGTGGAAAGTAGGCAAAAATTATCTTATTCGAAACCTTCTTGCTTAGTGTCACAACATGATGGGTTTAATTAAATATGTAGCCCATTAAGTAACTAATTTAATAACATGAACGCGCCTCGAAATACGAGAATTCGTACGTGAAATTTTTCCCGTTGATTAAACTATATTTTTTTATCTCAATGAATATAAAGTATTTTTAAAAACCCATTCGATTGAAAATTTATTTGATATTTCTTGTATGGGCATTTTTTGAGCACACACATTTTAAGAAGTATTAATTCTTGTGCATCAAAATCGTGTCTTAAATACGACCTTTTTTCCAATCTGACCTTATGTCAAATCGTAATAGTAACACCTCGTCTGGATGTCTCAGTAAATTTAATTCGGAATAACCTGGAATTCCATTAATTATTTTACCGTTTTTTTCCTCCAGCATCTTTAATTATATATGTGTAGAATTGGACTATAGGGATCTTTTTTTTTTTCAAAAGGAAGATTTAGACCCGGATTATACCAAAGCGTAGATGTAATTAGTATTAGATAACTGTTACCGACTGAAAATATGTGCTGTATTAATTACCTATAACGACTATAAGAACTATAGATTATGCCTGTAGTGTGCTCTGATATGTCTCGCTTTTGCGCAATTGGCGTTTTAAGTCTATAGTTTTGAGGCGGCTTTGCTTAAACGATTTAATTCTTTTATAGATGGTAGATCGCCAATATGACCTTTGCAGCAAGCAACTCCCAAGATTCAGGGTTTATATCACAAGCACTCAGGTGTCTTTTGAAAACTTCCTAATTGCGCTGATGCTGATCACCGACCGTGCTTTCAATCCTTCTGCCTTCGCTGAGTAAAAAACAACCACCACCTGAGCTAACATTGCTTCCCTACCATACATTCCAGAAATACGCGGAACGTTAGAATGAGGAATCCTGCGCGATAGTATCTCCGAAGTCAAGGTATTGTCACGCCGGATATTGCTTACAAAATATTCAGTGCTGTTGGAACAGCTTTACTTCCT